CAGCCATGGAAACCAGGCCTGGTGGTGCACGCCTGTAATCCCAGCACTGGAGAGGCTGAGACAGGAGGATCACTATGAGTCTGAGTTGTGTAGCGAGACCCTACACCAAATAAATAAATAATCTTAAAATTGCGACATAGTAACCCATGGACTTCATTAGCATATCAATATAATCCAGCAATAGATCTGATAACTACAATCAATGAGGCATGTCAACAGTATTTTACGAAATCTGCAACAACTAGAAGAGAATATGAAAGTCTCCATACATCCTATTAGTGACCAAGTCCTAGTACCACCAGCACTATTCTGGCCTGTTGTCTATACTCCTAATAAAAGGAATGTAAATTTTCAGTTAGAGTAGAGTAAAAATAGACTAATTTTCCCATCCAAACTGATGGGGCCTCTGAATTTTATCCACAGACTTTTCCTTGGGAAGAGACCTGGTCCCCGTTCTAAAGTTTAAGGGGCCAGCTGCGATGGCTCACACTGGTAATCATAGCACTCGAGAGGCTAGGACTGGTAGCAGAATCCAACTCCCCAGCTTAGCTTTTCCTGCTCTGGGGCCCTGCCTCTCCGCTGTGCACCTCGTGATCCTCTCACCCTAACTTCCGTCCAGTCACAGTGGGCTCTTTGCTGTCGAGCCCAGAAAGGTCTCCCCAGCTCCAGGGCTTTGCTATTCCTTTTGGATCTACACATGCCTAACCCCTCATTCACGGCTCTGTCCTTAGCCACCTGCTCTGATAAAGGATCTTCCTTTTCTCCTGTTACTGTCACATCACATTTTTTCTTTCCTGCATCAAAATCATCTGCTTCTTGTCTACCATGCAGCGAGTCACCAATGAAGTCCACAGGTGCACACCCGATCTACCTGTCCCCGCCCAGAAAGACGCCTGGAACCTGGGACGTTCACCAAATATTTGTAGACTCAAGAAATGAAAGAATGAGAAAGTTAAGATTCTGGGTGATGGGTGAGCAGGGTCAGGACTGGATTTAGCCGGTAGGGGGCCCCATTTCTCCAGAATCCAGAGGCCACACGGCTCTGGGTGGCCACTAGGGGGCGTGTCATGCTTCAGTCGGAGCGTGGAGAAGTTACAGTAAATTGGTCAGGGCTGGAAAGCAGCATACTTTGTGGGTCAACTGCTCTGTCTCTAACCTGTAAGGAAAACTGGCTCCGAGGGGTAGCATATCGCATCAAGGCTGAAAAGGCAAGGGACCGATCTCTGCTCAGCACGGTATTGTGATCGCTCACTGCCCCTGGAACATACACCGAACTGGCAATCAAAAGAAATGATTAGGGCCGGGGAGATAGCTCAGGAGAATAAGCACTTGCCTGGCAAGTGCAGGGTCCTGAGTTCAATCCCCAGTACCACCAAAAAAAAAAAAAAAAAAAAATTCACTGAATCGATATATTTTCAATGAAGGAAGGAGGCAAAAACCTCAAAACATATCCACTCTATTTTGCAATAGTAAGAATGTCACCCACAGGCTGGGGGCAGACAGACACTTTATGCTCGGTTAGGGGCGGAGTGACTGCTGGCTTTCCCAGCTGGCCTTGGCTCCACCTGGGGAGAGAGAAAGCCGAGAGTCAACTTGAGGAGGCGGCCCAGGGCCGGCCAGCTGTGACGGCCCAGGTGCTGCGCCTCACTCCACTGCACAGGGCAGGCGCCCCACTCCCCTGTGGCTCTGACCCCTGTGGAGCCTCACACCATGACTGGGGTGGACTTGCCGTGTGGCCCCACACTTGCTCGGCGTCCCTAAAATGGCGACTTGTGACCAGTTCTGGACATCCAGGCTAAGACACGGACAGCTTCAGGTTAAGCCCAGAGGACAGAACAGAAAGAGATGGGGTCTGGGAACCAGGTAAATGCTACTGTGACAGATTATGTTCTAAATGAGGATGAGCGGCTGGGGGGATAGCTCAGTGTCATAAGTGCCTGCCTGGCAAGCATAAGCTCCTGAGTTCTATTCCTGGTACTGCAAAAAAAAAATTTTTTTTTAAACAAGGATGAGTTGGGGAGGGGGGGAGTCCTGGTCAGTGGGCACAACGTTTCAGTTAGTAAGAATAAATTCTGAGGTTTTATCACACAGTACAATGCCTATGGTTAACAATGTATATTTCAAAATAGCTGGAAGCAAGAAAAAATCTGGCACATGCCTGTAATCCCAGCACTGGGGAGGCTGAGGCAGGATTGCCATGAATTTAAGTCTAGTCTAGGTTGCATAATGAGTTCAAGGCCAGCCTGAACTATATACCAAGATCCTTCAAAAACCAAAGATGAAAGGGACAGAGATATGGAGGGGGTGGGGGAAGAAGAGAAGGGAAGGGAAGGGAAAGAAAGGGAGGGGAGGGGAGGAAGGGGAGCAGAAGGAGGGAAGAGAAGGGGAGGGGAGGGAGGGGAGGGCTGGAGAGAAGGGTACCTGCTCCCTCTGCGGGTTCAACGTCCCCTGTGCTCAGGCCCCGAGGGCCAGGTGGGACTGATCCAGCCTTTTCAAGGGCTAGGCCACCGACTGCTCTGGCAGTAGACAAGGTTGGTCCCCCTGGGCAGCATGGTTACAAGTCTGGCAACCCTGGCACCATTTTTGTTTGCCACAAAAACGAGAGGGAGATGGATCCCTGGAGCCGGGCCTGCTAATCCAGGGAGGCCTTCTCAGTGATCTGAGCCACGTATCCCGACCACATCGGCCACCTGGAGTTGCGCTTTGGCCTGACCGATGCCCTTACTCCCAGCTCACTCCACTGTCTTCTACCTCAGCTCCCTGAGTCTGCCTTGGCCCCTCACTCCGTTCTTGCTTCCCACAGCCTGAAATCCCTTCCTCTAGATATCCACCTTGAGTACTCCTACTCATCACCTCAGTTCAGATAGCAGTTCCTCCCAAGCCTCTCTGATTCCCCCTGAGACGGGCATCACATTTCTACCACACCCAATGTGGAAAGTTTTATTTATTTATTTATTTATTTATTTATTTATTTATTGTGGTACCAGGGATTGAACTCAGGACCCTGCGCTTGCCAGCCAAGTGCTTATTCAACTGAGCTATCTCCCCGGCTCTATTTTGTCTTTTTGAAACAAAAATTCTCACTGTACAGTTCAGGCTGGCCTTGAGCTCACTTTGTAGCCTAGGCTGATCTTAAACTGTCAGTGATCCTCCTGCCTCAGCCTCCTGAGTGTTGGGATTACACCCAGCTTGTGGAAAACTGTTATTTGTTAGGTCCCACCAGCCTCAAAGACTTTGTTGAGCTTTATTTTCTATGGACCTGTTAGGCAAATAGGGATTTCTTTTTCCCCCTATTCACCAAATACAAAATGATTTTTTAACAGTGAACATAAGTTTTCAGTCAAGGCTACCCTACCCCAGATATTCTGAATACTCCCCTGGAGAGATATCTTCCCTTTTCTTGATTGAAAAAAACTGCAACACAACATCTTTCATTGATTCAGTGAGCATCCGTACAGCCTCCTTGGTAGAAGGCAACGTGCTGAGCATTGGACAGATTATAAAATTGTATAATAATCAGCCCTTTGTCAGCATATGCCAAGGAATTGCGGAAAATATGCTGTGAAATTGACAGGCATTGTGGAGGAGGGACTCTCCCTTCATACACCTGAAGTGCTAGGTCTTATGAGAGGTTGGGTTTTGGTGTTTCGAAACCCCTGAAGTGCTGGGGATGGAGCCAGGGCTTCACATATGCTGGACAAATGCTTTACTACTGGGCTAATGGACTCTATTTCTGGGCTTGTCGGGGCCAGGGAGCCAGCTCAGCAGCCTAAGTGCCTGCCTGGCAAGCCCAAAGTCATGAGTTTAATCCCCAGTACCAAAAACAAGAGTAACATTTCTGGACTTCTCAGTGTTTTTCAAGGGAAGTATTTCCTAGCAATGCTGTTTGGTAAAGAGCCATGTGTATCACGAGGTGCCCACACGGAACACCTGGCGCCGCAGACCGTGGGAACCCTGTCCCGAGAAGGGGACAGCTGATGGCAGCAGCCACCAAGCAGGAGGTCAGAGACCTGGGCTCCCCGGCTGCTGCTGCTCACAGCATGACCCAGGGGCTGTCTGTCACTCTGCCCTTGGGAGTCCTGGTGGAGGTAGGGCTTCATGGTGCGCTCACAAGAAAAAAGACATTTTGATAGAGGGACGGACATGCACAGAGAGAAGGCCATGTGACAACAGCAGAAGCTGGCGAGATCTGGACAGCCCAGGAAGCTAAGTCTGCCACTAATTCATGATTCCTAACCGAAAACTCCAAAGAACACAGCGTTTCCTAACTCACAGGTCATGGATCCCCTTCCCAAAAGGCCATCTGGTTGGGTGAATCAGAGGAGGAGACATAAACCATTAATTCTGATTTTTGGCCTCTCCTTTTGTGTCCACACAGGTGCCGTTCATGGGGGTGGCCTCGTTCTCTTCATTTGTGGGGGGAAAACAATGACATCAATCCCCCAAGGAGGCCCCTGCTGGAGGAAGTGTGTGGCCCTGTGGTCCCCCTTACCTGTGCTGTGAGTTGGATGGGTTGGGACAAGGTGAGCTGTGGGGTCCCAGGGGGCTGGCTGGCAGGCTGTGGTGGTGGCAGATCGCCTCCCCCAGAGGAGGCTGGGGGCTGCGAGGTCGAGGAGGAGGCAGAGGAGGAAGAGGAGGAGGAGGAGGAGGTGGAGGAGGAGGCGGCGGCAGCGGCGGCGGCGGCGGCGGCCCCGGACTGCTGCACGGCAGCAGCCAGCAGCTGGGCCTGGGCTTGCTGTAGGAGAAGCTGCTGCTGAGCTGGCATCAGCGCCGTGAGCTGCGGGCGGGCAGCAGGGCCAGAAGGGGCAGAAAGCAGAGAAGGCAGAGAGGGTTAGAGCCTGAGCCAAGCAGCTGAGGGCCAAGTCCTCCGGGAGGACAGAGGAGGTAAAGGCAGGTGTGAGAGAGGCCAAGGCCTGGGTGGGACTCCTCATCCACAAGTCCTGCAGCAGAGGGGTTTCAGCTGGCTGCGGCCCTGTCCCCCGCCTTCCCCGAGTACTCACCCCCGCTAGCTGGCTGCCCGTCAGCATGAGTTGGGCCTGGGGCAGATGTGGCTGAGCTGGCTGGGGGGGTGGGGGTGCTGCTGGGGCTGAGTCACCGCTGGGGTCTTCAGCCTTGATCTGGGGAGGAGAGAGGCAGGGTCCGGGACCCCAGAATGTTAAGTGAAGGCCAGAGAGAATGCCCACCTGTGAACCAAAGAAAGGGCACATGTGTGGCAGCGGCAGCCTCAGGCTGGCACAGGAGAGGACCAGGTGAGGCTGCAGCTCAAGGGACCGCAAACCACCTTCTTCCCTCTCCAGAGCGCCTTTCCCCTCCTAGGACTCAGTTTCCCCACATGCAAAATGGGAATTGGTGCTACTAGGGCCTAGCACATTGAAGAATGGGGCTGGGGGCCCCACACCCCTCATCTGTTTTAACTACACAGGTATCTCTCATTTGCCCAATAGAGTAAGGCTTTGTTGGAAGGAAGGGTCTTAGAGTATTTAACAAAATCACCATCTTGGAACCTGGGCCACAAACTCAGATGATCATGGAGACAAGCAGAGAGCTCCCACGGAGCCTTCATTTCAGAATCCAAAACAGAAATGACCACAGGACAAGCAAAGCACTGCACTAGCCTACTGCTTTTGTTTTTGTTTTTGTTTTTATTTTTGTTTTTGTTTGCAGAACCGGGGATTGAACTCAGGCCCTTGCGCTTGCCAGGGAAGCACTTATTCTACTGAGCCATTTCCCCAGCTAGCCTACTGCTTTGGACAAGCCAGTGTGGCCCAGGGACTGCCAGGTGAGAGCTCCGGACAGGCCAACATGCCAGGTGCCAGTCCCGGACGTCCACAAGCCCTTCCCCATCTCCATCATGTGGCCGTGTCTTGTATCAGGCACACAAGATGGACCAACACAGAGCCACCCGGCCTTTTTTTCTTTTCCCCAGCCAGGCAGTGGCAACTGTTGGCGTGAGGCTGCTGGTAACAGGCATTCGGGTGTTGGAAGGAGCGCAGCTTAACGGATCATGTGCTCTCAGGCCCAGAGTGAATGTTAGGGACTATGCTGCACCCACCGTTCTGCAAAAGGAGATCCCGGGAGGGAAGCAGCTTGGGCAAGGTGACCCAGGAGGTTGTCTGAGGGGTGACATTTTATTTTATTTATTTATTTTTGGTGGAACCGGGAATTGAACTCAGACCCTTGCACTTGCCAGGGAAGCACCTATTCCACTGAGCCATCTCCCTGGCCCCAGGGGTGACATTTTAAATGCAGACAGAGATAAGCAAAGAGGCAGGAGTGCAGGAAAAGGTGAATGGGAGAGATCAGGTCCCAAACTATGGGACACAGGTGTCAGGGTGTGAGGGGACCACAGGCACGCAGCATGAAATGACACTGAGGTCGTGAAATGACACTGAGGTCATGAGAAGCAGGGGAAAGAGATGTCCCTGGCATTGTGACAGCCTCTGGAAGGCTAGCCGCGGTCTACTTCATTGGTCAGTGGCGCCACCGGCAGGTTTGGTTTATGAAACTGCAGCCATAGGCTGGCTATCTACGAAGGTTTTGATATGTGTGATATTTCAATATGGAGTTTAAAAAATAAAATAGTGAGAACACTATTACTTTTGCATTCTTTCTAGTTAACCTTAAGAAAGTCTGCAGGTGGTTCAAAGGTATCTTAAACAGCTCCAAAATGCTGGCTAATCTCCCCTTTGACCCAATGGGAGAACAGGCTTGAGGGTTGATCCTTCAGCAGGTAAGAGACTCTGGCTAAATTTTATTTTGTCTTTTTGCGAGGGTCTCGCTATGCAGTTCAGGCTGGCCTTGAGCTCACTTGGTAGCTCAGGCCGGTCTTGAACTCACAACAATCCTCTTGTCTCAGCCTCTTAAGCGCTGGGATTCCAGGCATGCGCCACCATGCCCAGCTGGCTTGGCTATATTTTAATAATCATTGTATTTATTTCCACAGCAAGTGACTCTGGTTTTCCATTCATGAAATTTCCATTTAAAACCCATTTACCCGAGCTGCTGCAAAGCGAGGCGGTTCATGAGTTGATAACTGATGCTGAAACTGAGTGATGGGTTGGGGGGGCGCGTTTTCATTTCAGCCTTTCTATTTCTGCGTGTGCTTCACACTTTCCATAATAAAGTGTTTTTAAAAACTGAGCCAATTAAACAATTATCATACAAATACTTGTACACAGCGGCATATGGATACGCCTGAGGCCATCTCAATAGCTCGGGTATCAATACAGTTGGGGAAAGACTGGACCAGAAGAGACGGAGAGAGGGGCAGAGGCAAGAGCTGGGCCCAGAGAACCAGGGTCAGGCCCCAGGCCCCAGAAGGACAGGCTGAGCCCTTCCTCTCCTCAGCTACATGGCGGCCGCTGGTACAGTTGGGATGGGGTGGGGGTGGGCACCACTTGCAGGGCTAAAAGCCACAGCCTGAGATCAAGAGATCCAGAGTTCCTTCCACGTGGGCCCAGCTCCAGGCGCTCAGTACAGAACAGAAGGTACCTGCCTGGAGGCTTGTGCCCCCACCCACAAGCATCTGGGCCCACCAGAGACAAAAGGAGCCTCAGGCACCGTCCAGTCTAACAGGTCCCTTCCCCCACCAGTATTAAGAGGAAACTAAGAAGCCCAGAGAGGGGAAGTGACTTTCCCAGGGTCACGGAGCGAGGCTGCGGCTGGGTGGGGAGCAGTTTCCAGCCACCTCTGGTCAGTGTTAGGAGTCCTGCCTATGTCTCCTCTGTCCCTGTCTTTGGTGCTTCTTTCAGACCTCTGAACACACCCACTGTCTCCCTAACAGGCTGGGCTGGAGGTGGAGGCCTGGACTCAAGAAAAGCCCTGGAAGCCAAGCAGCACCCAGTACTGGACCCCACTTGGATGTGGAATTTGTACCATCTGGCTGCTGCTTCTGGCTTCCCCAGGGATCCCTTCCTCCTGCATCTCCAAAGCTGTCTGTCCTTCCTGGCTTTGCCAATCCCTCTGCCCTGTGCTATCCCCCAGTGCGTATGTCTTGGGGGACAGGATGGTGCGGGTCCCTTTAGTCAGGGAAGTCGGGATGGGGGTGGGGCCCTGGCTTCCTGTTGTTCATTGCCCTGGGGCTCCGGGGGGGATTTCCCTGGCCACCCCCACCCCCTAGGGAAGGGGAAGGAGCTTGGGTGAGTCACAGACCTGGGGCAGGAACCTGAGGGTGAGAAGGGGTGGGAGAAATCTTGTCACTGGGTGCTCTCTGGCCCTGGCTCCTGGCCCATACACCATCCCCTTCCCTGGATGTCCCAATCAGTGCTTACCTTGGTGCCAGGGCCAGTTGGGGACACGGAGAATGGGGAGGCCTTATTCTTTGGGTTCTGCAGAGAGAAAGTTGGGGCAGGGAATGGGAAGGGTGCTACACAAGAGCTTCAGACACCCACCTCTGCCAATGGCTTCACAGGGTCCCCTGGAACCCTCCTCCCCACCACCTTCTTGCTTATCCACCTGCTCCTGACCTGATGGTTACTGTCTGGTCCATTTCTTTCCGTGTCTGCAAAGAGAGGGAAGGAAGGGGTTGTTACCAGCCCTCCTCACCACGCCTCTCTTCCCATGGTCTTCCCGGATGTCACATTTCCTACTTTGCCTACTGGGACCCTGGCCTTCCCACTCACCTGTGTGCTCTGATGGGGAGTCCAGACCTTGTTTCTCGGCCTCCAGGGGCTTAGACATTCTTATTTCTAGGGACAAAGAAAGGACAAGAGCAGGGTGAGGTAGAAGAAGCCAAAAGGGCTTTCAGACCCTTCCTTTGCAACCCCAGAGCCTTTTCTAAATCCTCTACCCTCTGCTATCCTTGAAGTTTCTCTTCTTGAGAAATATTCTCGTGGGTCAGGGGCCCTGTCCTCCTCTGGCTTTGGAAGATCTTGCCTTAACCTTTCACCCCCCAAAAGGTGGCAAAGTGGTGTCACCCACGGTGACACTGGGCCAGGGAGGGAGGTGAAAGGTGGTCATACAAAGGCATCATCTGCCTGAGAGGAGGCCGGTGAGGACCAGGTTCCACTCCTGCCTCCTCTCTGGGCAGCTGCTGAGGCTCCCATTCAGCCCCACCAGGTTTCGGGTGAGACATGTTTTCCACTCTGAGTGGTGCCTGGGAGATGTGATGGGGCTGCAGTGTTTCCAAACAAGAGGGTTGTCAGCTCTTGGGGTGTGATTCAGCCATCCTCTTGCTCACCACTTTCCCTGCCCATATGTTACCCCCAAACCCGCCTTCTCCCCGTGTGCAGCACGTAGGCCCGGTCGCTCCATCTTGCTGCTCTCTAATGCCAGATCCATCTGCCTCTTCCCCTGACCATGTCCTACGGTCTAGCCCTAGACCTCACTCAGGACTTTCACTTTGAACCCCAGCTGCACCCTCAAATCCTCCCTACAGAGAGAACCTTGATCTATAGTTCCTGAGATCCAGGAAATGAAAGGTGATCAAAAAGGAGGTGGAAGCAGCCAGCAGGGGACCAGGGGACGAAGCCAGTGGAACAGCTGCCCCGAACACACGGCACTGACAGCCAGGGCAGACAGCAAGTGCTCTCCAGCACCAAGCACTGAGCTCACAGCGCACGTAAGCGGGGGTGCCACCATGACCCCACTTTTCAGAGAAGGAGACTGAGGTTCCAGAGGGATGTCCCCTCCCCAAGAGCACAGCAAGATGCACAGGCACCCAGATGGGACCCAGGTCTTTGTGACTCCAGGGCTCCTGTTTCTAGTCTGGAACACTCCAGTCTAACGGGTCCCAGTCTTGATTTCTGCTCCAGCAGTTCCCAGCCTACGCTCCTGATAACGACTCCTACCCTTCCTGTCCTGGATCCCAGCACGGATCTGGGCTTTCCTTAATCTCTTCTCAGTTCCCTTATCTTGCACCCAGATGGTCCAAGCCCTTCACCTGACCTTAACTCACATCTGGCCTCAGATCGCATTTGTAACCCCAACAATTTACACCAAAATCCCCAATTCAGCCAGGACTCCAACCCTACCAAAGGAGCTGTCCAACAGTTCTGTACTCTGCACCCACGATATTTAGGGAAAACCAGTTAAAGTGAAAAATGGGAAGAACTCAGCAGTGGGGGGAAAAAAAAAAGTCTAGGAATTTTACAACTGAAAATTACTCCATATGAAACACTGCTTGGGTTTTTAAAGTCCCAATTCAAAAGCCAGGTCACTGCTTTTTGGTGGATGTCTGGATGGATACAAGCACTATACAGGAAAGCTAAAACATCCCCCCTTATGACATAGCACAGTCACTCCTGGGCACCCACTCAAGACACACATGCTTCCTGTTGCCAAAAGACATGGACACAAACGTTTCTACTGTGTGTGTGCGTGTGCGCGCGTGTGCACAGTACCAAGGATCAAACTTGGGACCTTGTGCTTGCCAGGCAGGCGCTTGTGCTGCTTACTGTCTCCCCAGCCCTCTACTGCCTTTTTATAATGGCCTCAGGCTGGGAAGAACCCGAGGCCCTTCAGCAGGGTGAGCAAATAAGCAAAATGTGACCGGTTTATAAAATGAAACACAGGGCCAGGGAGACAGCTCAGGGACATAAGCACCTGCCTGGCAAGCACAAAGTCCTGAGTTCGATCCCTGGAATGGCAAAAATAAATAAAATAAAATAAGAAAATAATAAAATGATATAAAATGAAACAACACAGCAATGGGAAAGAGCAAACTTTTGCTTCACACACACGGCTGAATCTCACGGACAGGGTGAAAGTCGCCAAACACTAACGAACAGTTCTGCTTCTAATTCATGGAGTTCAACAACAAGCAAGCTGATCTCAGATGATCAAGGTCAGATTAGTGGGTACCTCTGGGGAGTGCTGGCCAGCAAAGGGCAGGAGGAAGCCTGCGGGAACTATATATGTCAAAATTCATCAAGCTGTACACTTAAAATTTCAGTACTTCACTACATGTAGATTGTTTTTTAACAAAAAATACAAAAAGTAAAAGCTTAAAAAGAAAAATCAGGAGGGTGCCGGGGATATAGCTCAGTGGTATGAGTGCCTTCCTGGCAAGCGCAAGGATGCGGGTTCGGTCCCCGATACCATATGCTGTGCTGGCCCCGGCACCCTGGGTGCACTATGCCACTGAAACCAGGTGTGGGGAGATGGCTCAGTAGAATAAGCACTTCCCTGGCAAGCCTAAGGGCCTGAGTTCAATCCCCAGTTCTGCCAGAAAAAAAAAAAAAGAAACCAGGTGTGGTGGCGCATGCCTCTAATCCCAGCTCTGGGGAGGCTGAGACAGGAGGATCACTGTGAGTCTGCTCTGTGTAGCAAGACACTGTACCAAATAAATACATAAAATATTATTTTTAAAGAATTTTTAAAAGCCAGAATATAGTCCTACTAAGGTTTAGTTAGGCTGAGGCAAGCAGGAGCAGGGAGCAGATGTTTAGGGTGCCACCACAGCTCTGGCACTGTTTCTGGGCACTGGGTTTGGGGCACTGAATAGCTACTCATCATGAGAAATGTGGGACGACACAGAAGGGAGCTGGGCCTTTTGGCACACTCCTGTAATCCCAGCGCTCCGGTCATTAAAGCAGGAAGATCACTGCGGGTGGCGACCTGCATGGGCTACAAAGGGAGGTCAAGGCCAGCCTGAACTACACAGTGACACCCTGTCCCAAAATGAGTTTTTTCTTTAAAAAAAAAAAAAAAAAGGAGCCAAATGATGAAGCCACTAACCTAGGTCTAACTCGCCCAGACCTTAGGCCTGCTCCAAGCAAACACGACTCTTGTGGGGTCCTAAGTCCGGCCCTCCATCGTGTTCCTGAAGCAGCCCCGGTCTCTCCTAGTGCTTCTGTCCATTTGTGTCCGTGTCACTCCAAGCATCCTTCCTGCGCCTGTCTCCTTGAGAAATATGAAGCACCCCTGCCTGCCCCAGCCTGGCCTTGGGGATGTGGCCCGCCACCCTTCCATTCCCTGTTGCCACTCATACAGCCTGATTTTTGATTCCAGCTGAGCCTCTCTCTCTCTCTCTCTCTCTCTCTCTCTCTCTCTCTCTCTCCTTGGTGGTTTTTCCTGACAGGGAATCTGGACCCTAATGGCTCTAAACTCCCTGCCTAGCTAGCAAATGCCCTTCCTGCCCACAGACGGGGAAGACCTGACCTCACAGTCTAAACGTCGTCGTATGCTGGCCAGGGATGTAGCTCAGCGGCACAAATGCCTGCCTGGGAAGCGCAAGGTCCTGAGTTCAATTCCTGATACAAAAAAAAAAAAGTTGTATGCTTATCTTTGGCCTCGGCTGTGGGGTGAGTTTGTTCCCTAAACTTCACATGCTGAATTCTAATTTCTAATACCTCTGAATGGAACTATTTAGAGACAGTCTTTAGAGAAGGAAAGTAAAATGAGGCCATTAGGGTGGGCTGCAATCCCATCTGATAGGGATCTTCATAAGGAGAGAAAACTGGGACACAGACACACACAGAGGAAAGCTCGTGTGCACACACAGGACAAGATCTGCATCTGCAAACCGAGGCCAGAGGCCTCAGATGAAACCGGCCTGGCCAACACCTGATCTCTGACTTCCCGCCTCCAGAATTGGAAGAAAATAATTTTCTGTTGTTCCAGCCTCCTTGTCTGCAGCACTGCATTTCAGGAGCCCCAGTGGACTAACTCAGCCTCCCACAGCCCCGCTGTCCCAGCCCCAAGCTCCCAGGGCCGCGGCGTCAGCGTCCAGCTTCCTTGCCCACCCCCGGGGGCCAGGCCTGCTCCGACTTCACAGCGTCCCCGGGCCTCCCCAGCCAAGCACAGCTTCTGAGCATCCGGCCGGCCCTGCAGCTCCTCCTGCTCTGCCCCTCCTGCTCTCTCCTTAGCATTTAACACACATTTTCTGACACTGGTGTGCATCGGTCCCCCTGTCTGGAGCACTGTCCTCCACTCTGTCCACAACTGTCCCCTCTAGCCCATTTTCCCGATGCAGCACAAGCTCTGTGCTCTGTGAAGCTCCCGCGCCGAGCATCTAGCTCCCAGCCAAGAGTCTCTCCCTACGCCTTCGGTCCTGGCGCGCTCAGCCCAGCAGTCCCAGTCACTGGGCTAAAGGCTGCAGCCTCACAGGTCTCTGCATGTCTCGTGGTCAGACCAAGAACTCTTCAAGGGCAGGTCTGACCTCAGTGTCCCACCAGTGCCCAGCAGGGGCCATGCAGGCCAAGGGCTGCGCAGGGCCCAGGGCGGCTGGCTCTCTCTAGCACACCATCACACCCTGTCCATCCTAGGCAGGGATCTCACCCCCATCTAGACTATGTGCTCCTCGAGGTAGAGACCACAGCACTGCCTGGGGCCCAACTGTATCTTTGAAATAAATACACAAGATAGGATTCCCTGATAATATCTAATGCAAATCTTCATGAGCTGCCATCTCCCCAAACCTTAAATCTCCACCCCATCCCTAAAGCAACTTCTGCTATAAACATAATTGGTTTCTGTTTTGTTTGTTTGTTTGTTTGTTTGTTTGTTTGCTGGCTTACTTGCTTGCCTGCTTTGGGTGGTATTCAGTCCCTAGGGATTAAAACCTGGGCTTCCCCTCTAGGTAAGCACTCTCCCACTGAGCTATATCCTCAGCCCTTTTTATTTTACTTTGAGACAGAGCGTCACTGAATTGCCCAGGCTGAGCTACGTGTGGTGGTGCATGCCCATAATTAGCACTTGGGAGGCTGAGACAGGAGGGTTGCCTTAAGTTTGAGGCCAGCCTGGACTACATAATGAGTTCAAGGCCAGCCTGTCTAAAACTAAGTTCATTCATTTATTAGCCTAGGCTGGTCTCTCATTTGGCCTGCCTCAGCTTCCTGCATAACTGGGATTCCTGGCTATGCACCACCATACCCAGCTCCACACTAAACCTTTCAGGTAAGGACCTCTGAAGAAATGGAGACAAAAGCGGTCCTGGGGAAATGTCCACTCTTCTGCTCCTCCTGTTCTCCCAACATTTTCCAGGCCATACTGCGCTTCCCTTTGAGTCACGCCATCCTTCCTAAAAAGCCCCAGGACTCTGTCCAACACTCAGCTGGGCCGCAGCAAATGCTACAGTGCTGCTGTCGGCCTCAGGCTCTCTTGCTGTCTTCCCTCCTCCAAGGAAAATCAAGTCATCCCCATCAAGAATGAATGGGGAGGGGCCTGGGGAGATAGTTCAGTAGAATAAGCGCTTGCCTGGCAAGCGCAAGGGCCTGAGCTCAATCCCTGGTTCTGCCAAAAAAAAAAAAAAAAAAAATGAATAGGGGGGCCAGGGAGATGGCTCAGTGGAATAAGCGCTTTCCTGGCAAGCGCAAGGGCCTGAGCTCAATCCCTGGTTCTGCCAAAAAAAAAAAAAAGCGTGACTAGGGGCTCCATTTTCCCCATGCACCCAAAGCCCGCTGTTGCCTTGATTAGGACCTGAGAGGGTCAGCCCCTAGGGACTTGGAGAGACCTTCAGAGGTTCTGCTCAAAGCCCATGCGGTGGTGCACACCTATAGTCCTAGTCTTGGGGGCTGAGGCAGGAGGCTCTCCGGGAATTCAAGCCCTGCACTACAGTTCAGCTCACACCCAGCAACACTGCTCCCACCAACTCTGATTGTCATAGCACAGTGTCACCTAGGCTTTCAGGCTTTAAAAGCCCCTCCGGGGGATTCTACTGTGCTGCAGCACCCCGAGGGGCACCTCCAAAGCCACTCCCGAAGCTTCATTCAAATAGAAAAATCGGTTGGTTACTTATGGTCATCCCTTCCCTGCCATTCCAGATAGTGTGAAACCTTTTAGAGGAACCAGCAGGGAATGGCGGTGCTGAAGCTCCAGGCCCTTGAGTCCCGCCATCCTTGGGGCAGAGTCACCCAGGCTGCCCAGGCCCTGAGCTCACCCTTACTCGCCTCACTGCCTCAGGCCTGGGCCTTTGGGTCCCCTCGGCCCTCCCTGCCCCTCCCTCCCCGGACTTTCACTTCTCCTCCGCGTTTCCCCCAGCCACTTTTAGCAGACTTAGGGCCAGCTTCTCGTTAGCACTTACCGAAAATGGGTCTAAATATAGAGGGCCCAAGGACTGCCCCTCACCCCTCCTGGCCTCCCTTGGCCTGTCCCCTGGGTCCTCTGCCTGCATAGCCCAGCTTGAGCAAGGCTATGGCCTAGGAGCCCCTGTGCGCAGGGTTAGTGCTGCCGGGAACCTCTGCGCCCCAGCTGGCCCAGCCTCCAGCCTCCCTGGGAGCAGCGCCTCACCCCCAACCCCCAGCCCACAGCTGTCCCTGGGTGGCCTCAGGGGAGTGAGCACTTTTGCGCTGTCAAGAGGGAGGGTAAGAGATGCGCGCAGCAGACACAACAAGAAGGGGGCCCACAGCTGGGCTGACAGCAGGCGAGCGCTACCACACAGCACACGCCAGAGCATGGGCAGAAGGACACACGACACAGTGTGCACAGACCCAAGACAAATGCTCACGGTCTGTGGACAGAGATCCACGCCCCGCTGTGATGCCGTGGACAGGTCCACAAAACACCTCGGGTACATGTATGTACACAAGTATGCATGTGCACATCTGCACCTGGTGTCATCCACAGAGGTACAAATATACATCCCAAGTCACACCCAGATACACACACACACACACACACACACACACACACATGCTCACACTCAGATAGGCAGATCCACACAGACGTAGAGTCATCTCCTTCTGGAGCAGGATCATTGCAGACCACTAAGCCGGGTCATAGATGTGGAGCTTGACACAAGGCATGGTGAGTGACCTGCCCGAAGTCACAGGAGGCATTAATTCACGTCTTCCCAATGTGTTGATTCATGTCCAGGTAGGGAAAACCCAAGCCATTCCCCCAAGTAGGGGTGTTACGTGAGAAACTGCAGCCCAAAGGCTCTAACCTATTGCCCAGCACTGTGAAATCCCCACGCAAACCTAGACAGGGACACAACAGTGATGGGCATTTCAGACATCCTGGACCCCTGGACCTCACACACTCTACACACACACACACACACACACACACACACACACACACAGAGCTGCTCAATAGGTAAACACTCGCCTTCCTGTGATCTTCCTGTCCTCCCACCTCCCCACCTCCCGCGCCTTTCTCACAGGAACTCATCCTTCACATCCCGACTTAGGCGTCTCCTCAAGAGTGCTCCTTGACACTGCTCTAGCTAAATTGGATATCTTCTGGGCTCCCACAGTCCCTTGTGCCTCCCCCTGCTGGCTCCGACGCTTCTGTGCCTCTCCCATCCCAGCCCTGGCTACTGTGTAGGGTCGCCAGTGACAGGTCTGACCTCACTGAAGCTGCCTTTTTTTGCAGTCATGTTTCAAAAACCCAGCTCAGAACTCTGCAACAAATACACGCTGCTGGGGGACTGCAGGAGTGCACACACATACACACAGATGCACAAAGGAGGGCACACACAAGCCAAGACGGGCAGCCAGAAACATGATACACATCCACACCCATGCCTCTATGGCCGCAAAGGAGTCTTGAAGTATCAAGTTTTAGGCCTGTGCTAAGTATGTCACAAGTACCACCTCATTAAATGCTCTCATGGACTGTGCCAAGTGATCACTCACTACACAGGGATACATACATTTCACTCAATCAGCTACCAAACAGCAATCACCTTGTACAGTGCCTGATACACAGTGTCCACTCAGTCAACTGACCTTTGGTGGGGGAGGCTTTTAACAGGTGCACACACATATAAAGAAATCTCAGATGATGGGGAATGCCTTGCAGAAAAGACAAAGCAAAGTCATGGGCCTGAGGACTGGCGTTCGCAGGAAGAGCAGGGAAGGCATCCCTAAGCAAGCGGCAGCAGAGGCAAGGGAAGCGAGCCCAGAGCTCATGGCCAAGGCCAGCTCTACCATGGCTCACATAGTAGCCCCTACATCAAGTCCTACACAAGCACAGAGCAGCCACACTCAGAGGACTCAGAACTACTATATATGCACACACACACACACACATGCACGCACAAACACACATAATCTACACAGATGCACGCGCATACATACACACATTCAAAAAGAGAGGGCCGCCACCCAAGTCCAGCACCTTGGTCTTCTGACCCGTTTGCAGCCCCCTCCAAGGATCACCCACGTTACCCACCCCACAGGTCCTCCACGTAAGGTTCCACTATCAGCACCCGGCTCCATTCCTCCCGCGCTAGACCATCATCACAGGGCCGCGGACATGGGAGAGCAGGCTGGAAGCACCTTTCACCTGATGTGAAAGGTGAGGGCAAAGAGAGAAGCCGGGGAACAGGCAGCCACCACGGAAAGCGGGGAGCTGCTGGGGTAGAGAGCAGAGGGACAGGAGCCGGCAGAGGAGAAGCAGGCGGGGAGGCCGCCTGAAGTGGCCAGCACAAGCCCAAATGTGTTGCCTGTCCGCCCCGCCGGCGCGCGGGCACGAGCTCCCTTACCTGGAGCCCCCATGCTGGAGTGAACCATGCTGCCCGCCCCAACAGGGCTGGGGGAACAACTGTGTCATCTCCCCACCCTCTCTGGGGGCCAGCACTCCCTACCGGAAGTCACACAGGGAGGAAACCACAGGGCTGATCCGCCCCCCTTCGGAAGGGAAAATACCCTGGCCCGCAGACCCGCCCCAACAGCCAGCCAACCCCACATCGTGTGTGCGTGTTTGAGGGGTGGGAGTTAGTGAAGCAGAAAGCAAGAGGGCTGGAGGAGCTGAGTCCCGCAGCCACCATGCCAGGCGGCGCCCCAGCTTTCCCGCTCCCGGAGGGCAAACATCCGGAACAGGGCGTGTAGCTCTGGGAGAGAAGATGGGCCCAAGGCAGTAACAGTAACAATAACAATTAAACTCTGACTGGCAGTTTATTGGGGGAAGGCTTTCTCTCAATGCCCGGTCCTGCACTCTTACTTGATAGGTGTCTTTTGGGGAGGTTGGCATTGTTGTTTGCCCCATTTTACAGACGAAAAGACTGAGGCTCACAGAGGAGAGAGGCAGTTTTCTTAAGGGCCAGGAGACAGTGAATCCTCAAAGTAGAAGGTGGTGGAGAGGATGAGTCCCCGCACCTATTCAAAGGTAAGCCTTCTGGGATCACCTCAGGGAGGAAACAGTGAGCGTGGACAGTGGCAGTGTGGGTGATGGAACGAAGCCTTGGTCAGGGATGGCAAGAAGTGTGTCAGTGGGCAAATGTGCCGGCCCAAGGCGGCTCAAGCGGGGAGGAAGCACTGGTTGCTTGGCTGCCTGCCTGCGGGCTTCCCCTCCGCACCGCGGCGCTCCCAGTCCGGTGTCTCCCTATTTGGCCACCAGAGGGCGGCAGCGCCCAGCCAATGGGCCGGAGGGCGGGGCAGGCTGCGGAGGAGGGAGCCCCTCCCTCCGCTCCTCTCCCGCCCCCGGGCCCCGGCCCCGCCCCCGCCCCCGCGCGCACACCTGCGAGGGTCACACAAAGGCGCGGGACGCCGGGCGCACCGCGGCGCAGACAAAGACTCGCCGGAGACTGCTGCCCTCCGTCCTCCTCTCCGTGGCCAGGGTCTGGCGCCACGAAACCGCCTGGCGCCTCCAAATAGCCCCTCAGCCCGCCTGGCACACCACAGGACATGCTGCGCCCCCACACCGGAGAGCCCCCCAAGCCACACGTGCCTGCACTCACTGAAACACACGCCAGCACTCGGGTATTTCTACACACGCACCCCAGCGCTTCTCCTAAACGCACTGACAGCTCCGCGCGCACATGCCAGCCCTGCCTCCTGACCATGGTCACTCCCGCCTGCACACACACCCCCTCCGCGTGCACCCAGAAGTACAAGGGCACATCTACACGTATGGCCAGTCCAGGTGTGGCCACGTGTACCACACTCACACGTGTGCACACCCGCAGATGAGACGCGCAGGTGGCTAAACTACATGCTGTGCACCCAGGCAGACAGAGGGGCACGCGCGACAGGGACAGGGACGACCAACCGTAGTTCTCACCCATCCACAGAGGACAGTTTCTAGACACCTACATTCCACCACATCCCACATCGCAAAGGCCTCTTCACGGAGGACAGCCACAGACCACATGGCCGCTGGCTGCAGGGTTTCTAGCCATGCGGGCCTCCCAGAAAGCAGTCCTGAAGCAGGGCGTTCATAAGCCTCATGTTGAAGCTGCACTTGCCCGAGAACCTCTGTTTTCATTTAGGATTTACTTGGCGGAGAGGCTTATTCATGGGGGTCACAGGACATGATAGGGAAGACCACAGGCCATCCCGCATGTTCCCCAGCCCCCCATATAGTCAGCATCCTCCATCTCAGGATGGACATGGCTCCAGGCCAGGCCCCTAGGGCAAGCTCCCGTGCTGCCCTCCCACGTCTGGAGTCAGTCCCAAATGGCAGGCCTTATGTGACCCCCAGAGGGGTGAAGTGCTGTCACATCCCATGCTGCTTCCACTCCTACAGCCTCTGACCAGAGCTGAGTGCCTGGGCTCAGGAAAGAGGATCCTGAAGGAGGGTAGGTAGGCCCAAGAACACAGAGGGGCTGAGTGTGTGGCACTGCAGGTGGCTAGGCCCTGACAGCTGGGGATGAGGAGGCCCAAGCCGCACCTGCAGGCACGTGTGGGGTCTCTGCCAGAGAAGAGGCTTCGAGCCACGAGTGAGGCAGGTAGGACTCAGGCACTGGGGAGCCCTGGGGGCCACTTGAGGTGCAGGGAGCCTGCAGGGAGGTGGCACAGGGGAGGCCAGGCTGGGCTCAGGGCTGAGCGGTAATTAAAGGAGACGTAGGGGGCTCCCCAGGGCCAGCGGGGCTGGTAACTGACACGCGGGCCCCATTGCTCCGCTCATATTTCTCACCGGATCGATACGTTTGACTCCCGACAAGACAATAATCGCTTGTACGCGGCCGGCGAGTCGATCAAATACATTATTAGAGCGAGGTCCCCTGGGGGCCGGCCGGGGAGTGGTGGGGGGAGCAGCTGGCCCACCGGGGACAGCAGAGTGAGATTCTTCACCCCTCAGGGCCCCCCTGCCATGGCCTCTTCCTCCTGGCACCCCAGGGGCTCCTCACCATGGTTCAGCTCTCTACTTGCTCTCTCTGGACTCCTGCTATCTTTAGCAGTCTCTCCACTCCACCCCCAGACTCAACCCTGCTCTGTGTGGGGTCTCAAGGGGTCCTTCCCCATAGGTGCTGCCCTTATCAGCAGGTTTGTAGCAAGTGGGACCTCGGGGAGGCCTCTCAGTCCCCCATCCTGGTGGGAGACTGAGTTGCAGGCCATGCTGTGAGCCCATGCCTGGGCTACGAGATGAACTCGGCCCAGGATTCATTACCGTTTGTTTCCCCTGCCCAGCCTCCTTTCTGCACCTAAGCAAGCACTCCGGCCTTCAGCAGGGCCCAGGCCTGGGCAGTAACTTGGATGGAGGGTAGAGAAGTCTATTTGGGGGCCTAAACAGGCAGGAAATCAGGACAATGTGGTGACAGACAAACCCGCAAAGGGGTGTGTGGCCAGTCGTGCTGCTGGCCATGCAGTTCTCCAAGGCTCTCAGATATGTTCAAACCATGCCCATCCTGGAGGATTGCCCACCTCTTACTCAGTGTCCAGGTTTCTGGGCCCAGCCTACTTCCTGTCAACATGCTGCCTTACCTCTTGGGGCTGAGGTCCCCTCAGGATTACTTGACCAAGGCAAAGTCAAGCTCTGCTTAGGAACAGCCTGCTTCTAGGGACTTCTAATATTTCTTCTCCTTTATGATTATCATCAGTATCAGCAACAGTGGCAGCATCAATATCTATTCTGCTAGTGAAAACATTATATTATTTCTAAATCTTCACAATTGTCTGAGGTGAAGAATGTATGCAATGTGTTAATTATTGAAACTGTCCTACCAATTTGATTTGAAACTGTCTCATTGTTATTTGTTTATCAATAAAATTATGGGAAAAAAAACAATTGTCTGAGGTGGTAATCATCTGAGATTTGTTAATCACCCCCATTTGATTGATTAGTTGAGGCCTGAGAGGTAAAGTTACCTGCCTCAAGTCACACAGATGGGGGCTGGCCAGATAGCTCAGTGAATTAAAGCACCTGCTTAGACAGACACAGGGACCCAGGGTTCAATCCCTGCCCTGTGGTGCTGGCCCTTCCCTGGGGGTGTGCTGAGAGGGCAATTGAGACTGGGTGTGGCGGTGCACCCCTGTAATCCCAAAGCTTGGGAGGCTGAAAAACTGGAGGGATCACTACAAGTCCCATCTGTGTAGTGAGACCCTGTAGACCCTGTACTAAATACATTAGAAAAAAAAAAAAGTCACACAGATAGGAATGGTGGGTCAGAATTTGAACCCAGGTCTGCCTTTCCCACAGTCTCTCTCTCTCTCTCTCTCTCTCTCTCTCTCTCTCTCTCTCTCTCTCTCTCTGCTTCTCTCCTGCCATGAAGAGCTTTGCAATGCTCCCCATTATCCAGTGAACCGCAGGCATAACCACAGAGATCAGAAACAGCCAAACACTGCCCACTGAGAAGCACAGGAATCCTCCACAGCCCCCAACCCCACTCTCACAGCTCTTAGAGTGTTTCTTGATATTCATCAAAGTTCTGGACTCCTTCTGACCCTACCAATTCCTGCCCAAAAGCAAATCAACTTTTCTCTACTTTCTTCACTCCAAATATTTCCTGCAGAACCCTTGGTGCCAAGCCCTGTGCTGGGATCTGAGGACCCAGAAATGAGGCAGATCTGAAGCCACCTGCAAGGCTCTTGCATCTGAGGGGAAGACGGGAGCAGATAAAATCTCCCGACAGTCCACCTCTCAGCAAGGATCCAGTGAATGCTACCCTGTGCCAGGACATGGCTGGGCTCAGAGTATACAGGGGTTGAAAGCAAAACAAAGACTTGTTCTCTCCACCATACACCTTCGTCTTTTGGAGGAAGCAACCATTTTTAAAAGCCACCAAATAAATACATAAATCCCAAGTTGGGAAAAGTCAAGAATAGGTAGAAGGAGATACCTGATGTAAAACAGATAGTGGCGCCTTGCAAAACTCTGTCCCGGGGACGTGGAATTTGCATAGCAATTCACACAACGTCCAGGAAGTGAAGGATGCGAGATGCAGCGCTCCAGACAGGAGGGCAGAGGTGGTGGTGGCCCCACGACAGCAAAAATAATGCAGCAGTTTCAGGAGCAGAAAGGAGGCCTGTGGAACTGGAGTGGGTCGGGTGAGGAGCAGGATATGGAGATGAGCTAGGGCCGGAGAGATAACTCAGTGGCAGAAACGCCAGCCTGGAGATGAGCGAGAGAAGCAGCAGGGTCTTGGCAGCCATGGTAACTGTTTTTTTGTTTGTTTGTTAGTTTGTTTGTTTGGTGGCCTGCTCAGCACACCCTGGGGGAAGGGCTGATGTGGCACATGGTGCCGGGGATTTTTTTTTTTTTTTTTTGTGGAACCAGGGATTGAATTCAGAAGGTGTTGGGGATTAAACCAGTCCCTGTGCTTGCCTAAGCTTGCCTATGCAGGTACTTTAGACCACTGAGCTATCTCGCTGGCCCAATGGCAACTGTTTTGAAATTTACCCCAAGA